ACCTCTGTATTAATTTAAAACTAACTTCTTTGTGGATAAAAATATGTTGGTAGGTCTCATAGAGATGTGTCAGATCTATGTATGTTTATTCATCATACCAATTGTTACTTCTCTAATCTCTTGATTTAACTCACCATTTTTTTCCCAAAACTTTCAGAGCATAAGTATGAAATAGTAAAGATTTTACAAGAGAAGAAGCATGTTGTTGGAATGACGGGAGATGGTGTGAATGATGCACCGGCTCTGAAGAAAGCAGACATTGGAATAGCAGTATCTGATGCTACTGATGCTGCAAGGAGTGCTTCAGATCTTGTATTAACTGAGCCTGGATTAAGCGTGATAGTGAGTGCAGTCCTGACGAGCAGAGCTATTTTCCAAAGAATGAAGAACTATACGGTAGGACTTTTCATCATTTTTCTTCTAAATAAATAACAACAGCTTGTATCTATAGTAGGTGTTAGGAAAATTCCTACCTTTTTGTCTTATCCATATCCTGAACATATTAGTCTTTCAATCTATATCTTATAAGACTCAGTCCTTTACAACATGAAAACTAGAAACAATCACTGTGTATTCAAGGGCCCAGCTAACAAGCCTGCAAGTTACATCTAAGAATGTCTATATACTATATAGTGCACGTAACAGTTCAGCATACTAAACAAATTTACCAATTGCTTTTATCTTTATGCTGATTTTACATTTAGGAAACTGATTTGCCTGAATCATTATGCAGATATATGCTGTGTCTATTACCATCCGTATTGTGGTAAGTTGGATTCTTCTTATGCACTCAAACATTCAGTTATTTTAATGAACTTAGATACTGAGGTTTTGAATACTGTTTGCAGCTTGGTTTTGTGCTCTTAGCACTGATATGGGAATACGACTTTCCACCATTTATGGTTCTGATCATAGCAATACTTAATGATGGTAATGTTTCACCCTGTGATAGCCCTTACCTTTTCTTATTCCTGAATGATATGGATCAAACCCCAAAATCCAAGAATGAGGGTTTTGGCCAATTAATTTTTCATTCTTTCTGTTTCTTTATTGCAAGCTCAAGCCACTTTTTGCCAGCTAAAATATTGATTTCTTTTTTCATTTATTGTTCAATTTTCGATCTGAACACATTATTAATACTTGATAGAGATGAATGTCTAGAGTCCCTCTTCATACTGCTATGTCTATGTCCTATAGGTTTTTAACTAA